GACGCATATTCAGTTAAAAAAGTATACTATTAAGTTTATCTATTGAATATTTGTGGAAATGAAGCATGTTTTTTTTGTCATTAATTGTCTAGTTGCTTTGTATTTCAACAAAGTAATTCGACAAGAAAATTATTTTTTTCTGTTTCTTTTATTAAACAAAATAAAAATATTTTTGTGCATGCATATACGCATGCAAACATATCATAGATATTTTCATATAGGGAAACAAGATCATTTACACTGAATTGATTATCGTTTTTCTTTCATTCAATTTGGATGTGTTATCAAATAGAAATTGGACAAAAACAAAGTAAATTTTCTTTTTCTTTTATCGTATATGACAACAAAAAACAAATTTTTAATTTTTCTACCATTGACAAGGTAGTTTGTTTTATAGTTGGAATGAATGAGCATGGTTCACTTTTACAAGAATATCCTCTAGATAACAATGAAAAATCGATTCTTTTTTAAGAATAATGAAGACTTTTTTAAAGCTCGTTGTTTCGGCGTATGTTTTTTTTTTCACTATAGGAAATAACTAAATACTGCCGATGAATGATTTTTCATGTATCCTACTATCTAATAAAACACTTGATACAATGTATAGTCATATTTTCTGCATATTATTATTAGTTTGAAAATCTTACAAGTATTAAGAATAAAACTTAAAAATTCATATATATGGATATTATTTGATAGGACACATTTGGGCACGTATGCAGATTTGATTTTACAGACTCCGAAGTATCATTTTTTAAAATAAAAATAACGAGGAAATCTCTTTAGATGTCACAGCGCTTTTCAACTGAGACGATATTTATTTGACGAGTGCATAATAGAAAATCCTAGAATAGTTTTGTTTTCTGAGCATTCGTTCTTGAAATAGCAATGCTTTGTTGAATTTTTTTGTCTCCTTCAGGTCATGTGACGTGGGAAATCGACTTTCGGCTTCAAAATTTGCACGAACAAAGTTCTTAATGGCATCAGTTCATTGTAGAAGTTTTAGACTTTCTATTATTTCTTTTCTAGAGACGTACATATATGAACGAAATTTGCTTTTGCACATGGCAGATTTCGAATATTCAATATTTCAAGATAGTAAATACTAGAAAAGCTAAAACTTGTCCAATGAACTAATCTCATTAAGAACTTTGTTCATACAAAGTTTGAAATCGAAAACCAATTTTTCATGTGATCGTAAGGGGGTCATATCTTTTTGTTAAGAAACCAGCAAAATTTCTATATCTAATGAACAAAGAGTCGAAAAACCAAACCGTTCTAGATTTTTCTATTAATCACTAATTAGTACTCATCAGATAAACATTGATTCGGTCGAAAAGCAATTTGGCACCTCAAAAGGTTTCCTCATAACTTGTTTTAGTAAATCATAAGAAGCTTACATAATTCGATATTTTGAATTGTTCATAAAATCCTTTACTTATAGTCAAAGCAAATATATAAACAAAAAGTTCATAGAAAAACATGGATTTTTATCAGGCTTTTATTTTCGACTTAATGTAAAGTATCAAGTTCTTTTTGGATTGAATTTTATTATTAAATTCATTATGATAAATTATTCCATCGAATCAATGAGGCGAGTATAGGCATATATATAATTGTTTTGGAAGGTCTGAATGAAATGCATTAAAGATTGAAAGAAAAATATTTTCAAAAATGTGTTTTCTAGTTTGATCATTGTTTCATATTATTTGTTTTTTTTGTTATTTTACCATCAGGAACAATGTCTTGAAGACTGCTAACTCATATCTGTATAATCCTGATTGTCATATAAACAAACTCATCTAGTTCTTACTACAGATAGTATCAAGAATTCTAGATTGAAATCTGAATATGTTTTCTATTAACTATATATTTGTGCTATTCTTTACAATGAGGATGGCGTTGATAAGTTAATGAATAGATAATATTGTATCTGATGTAAAATGTCCTCTAATAAATCATAAAGTTACAATTTATTTCGATATGCATTGTTCAGCTGTCATGATACGTTCAGAACAGAAGTAAGAAATTTAAAATATCTTTGTTAAAGTGTATCTATCTGACTTTCTTTAGGATACATATAAATTGTTAAATGCTAAATGGAAACAAATAAAGAAAACGAAGAAACGCATTCAGTAAAAAAAATTAAAAAATATTCTACGAAACAAAAATATTAATTAAGTAAAGAATACCTTATTAATTTAAGCAAGACAATCAAATGTTAGTTTATCCACAAATTCTAATGATATTATTCTTGATGAATACATATCTTCTACATCATCTGCTAAAAAACAACTAATTCTATTATTACAGATGATACTGATAATAATTCAACAATGAAAAAGTCACAAGAAAATCATTAAACTAGAAAATTTGTGACATCCTCGTTCATCTAGTGTCACCTAACAAAGAATATTTCATGACTTGAATGAGAACGAGGAATGCGTGACACCACTCCGTTCAACTTAAGCAAACAGGTTTATTAATAATTGAAAATGAAGATCAGTTGAATATATCGCTCAAATAAAAACAATTAAAAACTAATCAATTTAAATGTTTTTAAAATCATGTTTATTCTAAAAAAAACATTTCTGAGAAATCAACGAAAGAAAAAATGATGAACAAGTACACAATCTCATTCTGATGTGGCTTCAGTTTTAAAGAAAGTATTGCGAATAATTGATTTTTTTTTAATGTCGAAACATTCTATTGTTCAAATGAACGAAAGTAAACTATCGAAGTGTCCACAAATAATAACACTAAGCAATTTTAGAAAACGGTTGATGTGAAAGAAAATTTGCCATTTTAGAGGAAACAGTAGGCAACTTCCGCATATCAGGTGAACATGGAATTTTTGTGCTCGAAGACGGATTTTTATTACTCAGAATTGATTATGTAGCACTTAGAAAACCGTTCTTAAGAAAATAACTCATTTGTTGAAAAAAGATTTCGCAAAAGTTATCTGTGGCGGGCGCTTGCCATGTTTTTTGAAAAAATTTTTCTTACCAAATATATTGTATCGCGCATCATTCGACGCAGTTTCTCGCGTTGATTATGAGGATCGACGTGATTTTTCGTTAGGATATTATTTTGAGGACAAAAAGAGAGATTCAGAGTAAAAAAACAGGTTTATTTTGGAAACTAATAACTAAACCTACGTTGAATAATGCTGTGCAGTGCGATAGCGAACGATAGATTCCACATGGAAAAACGTGCACTGAATGTTTGAGATCAATTTGACTGAAGCCAGTTGTAGCGTTTATAAAATCGAGGAAGTCGATTTTTGGAAACGTTTTCAGCATAACGATCATAAGTTTCTCTTTTTAGAACCGCATTTAATTATACATCTTTCGATGCAGTTCTGTGAGTTGATTCCGAATATCACCTTGACTTTGCACCAAAATGATGTCTTCTTTACCAAAAAAGAGGTATGTGGGCAAAAATCGAGGTTTTTGGAAGACTCACAGTATTGACTATGCTCATCGGCGCGAGATGATGCTCTGACTAACGATGAATTATACATGGAAGAGGAACTAGCGAAAGTTTGAGATCAATCTTATTTAAACTCTTGGTAGCGTTTAAAGAATACGGAACGGCTAGTTTTCAAAGCCTTGTCGGATACCGGAACCAACCTTTCGTTCGAAAAAATACTTACTGTTTTATGTGATTCAATGCAGTTTGACGAGCTGATTTCGAATATCGTCTTGATTTTGTTTCAAAATGTTTTTATGTTCGGAGAATTAGCGATTCCAGCGCAGAAACCTAGTTTTTGGAAGACCTTTTAGCTGTCCTATGTTCTCTGACGCAACAAGGTGCTATGATCAATGATAAGTCATACATGGAAGAATAATTGGTGAAACTTTGAGCTTAATCTGTTTAAAAGTTTTTGTAGTGTTCGCAAAATACGATATGACCGATTTTTCGAACTGTTTTTGACGCAGTAATCACTGTTTTCTATTATGTTTTCGGTCAAACGAAATAATTTTTGACATAATAAAACTCATGGGCTAATCCTTCGTTTCAAACAGTTTTTCATTTTAAAATATTTTGATATAAATTGATAAAAGAAATGGTCTCCGTATAATATCCGATTCATGAGCAATTTTTTGACAATAAGCGTTTCCAGAATTCGATTTTATTTCTATAAATCTAATTTTAGAGTAAAATAGACGATCTATAGACGTATTCATTTCAATATTCAAACTTCAGAAAATAGAACTTGAGAGCACGCTCGTCTGGTTACTCACAGTGTGCTATAATTATGGTTCTTCAACTTTTTCTAGACAGAGACTTGAGAACTAAACATATATTTCGGAATATCATATGACAATATCATTTTTCGTGTAAGTCAACTACTATTATTGTCTTTATATATACAATAAGATTAAAACCTAGAAAGTAAAAAAATTCATGTTAGATAGATAAATGTTTATTTAGTAGAAAACGAAAACAAAATGTTTTTATTCTAAATCAAGGAAACTTTGGTTGCATGTTTTTTTTCTTATTCCTATGAAATAAAAACTCTGTTTTATCATTTTTTCATCTTTTTGGATGTCATATATATATATAAACACAGGTGTATCATTGAAGCGTAACATATGTAAATAGAATCGTGTCCTTCTTCAATGACAACGTGATGTTCTGTTTCAATAACTGAATAAATTAAACATAAAAATCTTGAATCGAATTACAATTTAAAATTTTAGAACTCAAAAAAGAAAAGAAACAAGTTTTATTTTGAAAAACATTTAAATCATGTGTTTTTTTATTACACTAATTCATTCACAAGATGATAACAAAAGGAAAAAAGCAAACAATTGTTTTTGTATTTTTTCCCACTTGAAGGTTATATTGCGTTTCTGTTTTTTTTCTTCTATCGATAGATACCGACAACATTAATCGTTTATGGGTTGTATTTTATTTTCTTGTTAGTATGCATGTGTTATATTCACTTAAATAAACACAACTGACGATAGCAAAAGAAATTATTGAAATAGAAAATGATCAATAATTATCCAAATCAACTTTTCTATAATCCATCGGCTATGGGAATGCCACCGAATTATGCATTCCAAAATGGTATGTTTATAGATCCATCGATGAATATGCAACCAATGAAATCACAGAAAAACCCAGGATCATCATTTGTTTCTCGTATACCAAGTCTTCATTTACCTGCTATTCTTTTACTTACTTTTTCTTGGATATTACAGTCACTAGCAACATTTATGCCATATTGGTCTGTTTATTCTGGAATACCTAATTCACGAGCAGGTTTTAGTTTTAGTTAATTTTTTCATGCAATATTTATATTTCATAAAAGGTCTTTGGAGTGCTCAAAATTTTAATTATACGACAATACAAAATTTTTATTTTCCAGAACCGAATAGTTTTCAAACTCTAACTGGATCAGTTCTTTTTACTACGGCAAATACAAAAGGTAATATAGATTTTTTCAAATTAAAAAACAAAAACAAAATTTGACCTATTTTTAATTTTTCTAGGATATGTAGTAACTGTACAATTTTTAATGACATTTAATTTTGCCTTAATGTTCATTGTAATTGTTTTATTACTAGTTGATTATATTTTATCTAAAAATAAGAGTGCTGAATCTGGCAGTTTTCTGATTCGTAATTATAATACATCTGATACAGTTTTAAAATATGCTCTTCTTCTTTATATTATTTATGTATTTGGTATGAGAAACAAAAAAGAAACATCCAAGATTTATGTTTTTAAAATTGTTTTGTTTTCGTTTTTTTTTATTTAGGCGTATTTGAATTTGCAGCATGGATAACATATATTGGTTCACGACATGATAATAATTGGAATTTTCATGTTTCATTTGCATTTGCTGTTATTGTAAGTGCGTTTCTAATATTTGTTTTTATAATGTATGTTATTGAATTCATTAAAAGATTTGAGTAAGCATATTTTTTTATTTATTTATTTATTTATGAAAGTAAAATTATTTATTATTATTAAGAAAAGTTCGTTTGAAATGGGATTATTGGTATGGCCCATATATTGAATGGGGTTTCTTTGTATATCTTTCTGCATTACTTTTACTTCTTCTTGTCATCTGTTGTCCTGAATGGGCTTATAAAAAAGTTGATCCATTATATTGGTTTGCTGAGATTGGTCTTTTTAAACAATGCTATTTATCATCGATATATAAAAAGACTGCTACATCGGGTTTTTGTACATTATCACAAACGTCAAACAATCAATGTAGATTATTATTTTTGTTTTCATCTTCATATTTTTTTTTTGTTTTTCTTTTTATATTTAGCATGGGTTAATGCAACACAAGCCTTTATGCTAATGGCTTATATTATAGGCATGATTATATTGCTCATAATTATTGTTTTTCGAAAAGAATTTCGTCATAGAGAAAATGGTTATTATACAGAACGTGTTAAACAACCACTATTTACATATATCATTGCAGGACTTATACTTTTCTTTTGTTGTAAGATATGACTTTTTTCTTACTTAATATGATATTAATTCTATTCGCCATTTAGTTATTTTTTCATTAATTGGTGTGGCAGTATTTGGTGGTGAAGTATTTAAGTATCCAATAGATGTTAATTGGGGATATATAGTTGCTGTATTTGCTATGACGCTTTTTCTTATAACTGGTATTCTATTTATTTTGGATGCTGTTCATAGCAAGAAACAAATAGCGTATGTTTGAAAAGAAAAAGCAAACTATATTTTTTATACTTTTGTTTAGTAAGGCAAATTCATCATCGGCTAGCAAATTTTTCTTTCCAGCGCCTTTAAATTATCGTGTATTAGGTCTGCAACCATTATTACCACCCAACCCTGTTAATCAACCAATACCACCATTTCCACCAATGGACCCATTTCAATTTGGACAAATGGCTCCGGCATCTTGGCCAACACTGTCACCATTCGGTTTCCAACAGCCAGCAATGTATCCACCATCAAACTTTGTCAATGACCCATACTCTCCACTACAAAACATATCAATGATGCCACCAAATTTTGTCAATGATCCATACTCTCCACTACAAGACGTATCAATGATGCCACCAAATTATGCTATGGAACCATATCCATCAGCTCCATTCACCCAAGCAGCTTTAGCTAATTATATTCTACAAATGCAATCTAACCCACAACTATCATCATTACCGTATAATGATGGTTTAATGAATTATTCATATGATGATCCATTGACTTTTTCAAATGACCTAAATTATATTTCTGATGAGGATAGGATGAATTTGATGGTTCGTCAAGAGTTTTTACAACAACAACGTTTAGCTTATAATCATGATCGTTTACTTGAACGATACAATCGTCTTTCTCAGCCATACACATCTACATTTCATACATATGGTACAAGTAGCTTACCTGGTCGAAATTATGATGACTATTTACGTATGATATATGGTAATGATCATCAGGAATATTCATTAGCTGACATGTCGCGAGCAGATATAGGTTCTTCAGACGAAACATATCGATACATGGGTGGTGAATATGATGAAACTTTGCCAAGAGATGTTAGTGCAGTAATGCAATATAATCGTGGTGATTTAATGCCATATGTATATGCAGAAAAATCAGAACCTGTAAAAATGTATGATCATCCAATATTTAGATCAGCATTAGCCTATATACGATCATTATATAATAAAACAAAATATTTAAAGAAAAATAATAATGAAAATGAAGTTAAATTAAATAATATTGATCATAAAGAAGAAACTGAAAAGCAACCCACAATTACTATTGATAATGACGATGAAATATTTGATCATGCAACTTTAGGAGATATATTAAATAAAAGATGGAAAACAACATATGGACAACTTATTCCTATTAATTCTCATCTTTTTAATATATATACTCAACGATTAAATGGATCTATTGAAAGTTATGGTCAATCATTATATTTACCATCTGCTCATCATAGTCATGACACACGATTAAATCATTATGGAGAGATATTCATTGCATCTCTATCAGATACTGATTTAGCCGTGGTTCGTATGTCTAATAAGACTTCTTCTTTATCGAATAGTGGATACAATACACTGTACTCGCAAACGGTTCCTACAACCGTTTCACAATGACAGTTAGAACTTTCTCTTACAGATTAATATATATTTTATTAAATGGAAATTTTCATATTATTTGATTAAACCTTTATCAAAATAAAAATCCTCCTTTTTCCTTTTTGAATATTTGAAATGACCTATTTTGATAAAAATAGTACTGATTCATCAGAGAAAGAACCGAGCTGATATAATGCTTCTAATCCATATGTGTCACGAAACAAGTTAAATCCCATGATAACATCATCATTAATGTCTTTCATTCCATCAACATCAGTTATTGCCTGCCAAATTCAATAACAAGTAAATTATCAAGACAAAATACATTAATAATAGATAATGCAGGTATTAATGCGTTAAATTCTATCAAACATCAATAATCCATGCTATTTGCTTTTCAAAAGAAAGAGAAAAAAAAATGAAAAGTTTATAGATATAAATGTGCAGCATTTTTTCACTCAATTAACTATTTGAACTTTTCCAATAATATAAAACATAAATCATTATTAACGCTTGTCTGCATGAATGAGATTATATTGAGGATTTCCATCAACTTGATTATCTCAGGACGATCTTTTTCATCATCATTAAATCTACGTAATTCATTGTATACTACTTCGATATCACTTAACTCTGAATTTGTTTCAACATCAAGTACAATTATTTCAAATCAAATACTTTCAAGTACCTATAATGAACCTTTAATGACTATTCTCTCTCTTCAGCTTCAACAACGCCATCACCAAGTCAAACAAAAGACATTTATGTTCGTAATACATCACTATTATTATCAGTAAACGATATTTTTTTTTACATATGGTAGCAATAGTAATGATTACACAAGTAGGACTGTAGATGACAAAAAAAATATAATCAAAATTTAGAATATATTAAAATATTTTTTTTAATATATAAATATTCAATCAGACACGCAACAGCTGATAGTGATGCAGATCTTAATTTATCATCTTCTGACGGCTAAGTTTTGTATTTGTGCCTACTTATTGTGTATGTTAATCAAAATAGATGAATAAATATTATAATAAAAGAAAGAAGTCAAATAGTATGTGAATATTTATTAGATGTGTTTTTTTAGACAGAATATCTATTCCCTAGAAAATGACAAACTTTTCTGATGTAATGAAATACTTTTTTTATCACGTTATAGTAATAATAATAATAATAATCATAATAATAATAATAATAATAATAATAATAATAATAATAATGATAATCTTTGAAAGTTTAACACCCGTGAAAAAAAAACACTAATAGATGGGATAAGATAAATGGCTGTCTCATTATATTGTTGAAATGCCAGTCAATTGCAATCGCTCAGATATTCCTATTTTGTTTTGAAAGAATTTGCTCTGTATTTCTACACAAAACGCTATGATTTAGTGAACTAATGCATTTCTTTCCGACTCATGTAAAAAATTTGGATTAAGAATCGAATTAAAAATCGGTTATAATGACACCATTATAATCTGATTTTTCAGCTTTAAAAGATAGATTTCTTTTTAATCTATTTTAATCGATTATTATAGTCATTGAAGGTAATCGGTCACAATAGATTTTAAGAAAATGAAAATAAAATAAAATCTGTCTTTTAAAGCTGAAAAATCTGATTAAAATCAGATTATAATAGTGCCATTATAATCGACTTTTAATCTGATTCTTAATCCAAATTTTTTTTACATGGAAACTGTTCAAGACAACTTATTTGAAAAATGAAGTCACACAATTTTTAAAACTTGCATCCTTTTCCACTTCGTTTTCATAGAAATTTTTTTTATTTTTACAGTATTTTTGAGTTCATTATGAATCATTTACAGTTCAGAACAGGCACTAGTGCACTTCAGATAATTATTTAGAATAAATTCATCACTGAAATGAGTCTTAAATTTTTGATAATGAAAGTCATAACACTTTAAGAATACAGATGTTTTCTGAAAAAGAAGTGTAAGTTTGGAAAGTTGTGTATAATCTACTTGTTCAAATAAGTTATGCTCGAAAGAAGGCGAAAAATATGCTGTTTGAATTAATTACACCGTTGTGCAGAATTACATGATGTGTCTTTTCAAAAAAGAAATAAAATCTAAGCAATGCCAAGTTAACTGAAATAGTAACAACATACTCAGATAGTCATGTATTTTGTTGAATATAGTATTAGTTCCGTACATAACAATCAAATTGATTTATAAATACTCCATGACCTATTTAACATTTCACCTACGTATAAAGAAAAACAATGAATATTTTTAGCACACTGCTCATGTGAAAAAGAAGACACGTTGAGAGCGTTCATTAAAAAACACTAGATAGTGTCGCTGTAGTAATTTTTAATGAGTATTTAACAGGATAGAGCTAATGATCAATTATGAACATTCTTCGCATAGTTATTTTTTCATTTTGCTATCGACTAGTGAGGAACATTAAGATAAGAAAATAATCTTAAAACCAAAATGCAGTTTAAAGGCAATTGAATATTAGCTCGAAATCTTATCTCTTTTTTTTCATGATATTTTTGACACCATATGGTATATATTATAAGTATTAAAATAACTTCCAACCGCTGGGCAAATGATAACGAGATAGAAGTAAGTAACTCATTGATCAATTTAGATACACACATGTGGCTCCATACTTAGAGTAAGATGTTAACTTTGATGAAATTAAATATAACGGCTTGGTACTCGTTTCTACCGTTTTCTCTATGTAAAAAACATAAAAGTCTCATTTATGATTTCGGAAATGACGTTGACACTTGTTTTTTTCTCATAACAAACCCTATCTCCTTTCTATTTGTATTCATCTTGTTAGTAGACGACTACTACTACACCAATATATTTTTCAAATGAGTTATAGACATTCAAAATAACTACGACGTAGTATTCAGAATCTTATCTTGACTCGTCGAAGAAGAGCAATATGAAACCATTAAACGTGCCTTCACAATATAAGAAGAAAAGCATGCCCCCTAACATTTTTCTAAATGCACATCTTCTAGTTCTAGATTGCATAAAAAAAATTAATTGATGAAAATTATATGGCACATCATCAACTAGCATTTCTAGCATTCATCTAATTTCTTTTTTTTTTCTTTCATTCTCATTTCTTTTACATATATGCTGACATACGTTATTCAGATTACTTCAACTGTCATCGGTATTTCATCTTGATTTTCAATATTCAACAAGAAAATATTTAATCATTATGAATTTACAAAATAGAGGTAAGATTAAAAGCTTCGAAAGTTTAGTTTTGAAATAGTAAATTTTGACAATAAAGCTTTTTTTCTGTTAAAAAAAAAAGAAAAGAAAATTTGATAATAATAAATTTTAAATTATTTTTTGTCGACATAATCGAGTTTATGCTCAATAGAATTCATTCATTTTCATCTTTAATTTCCTTTAGAAATATTTAAAAAGCAAATTTTTTCACTATAAAGGTGTGAATTAGATCTTGACAAATAAATTGAACGTGCTCTATTCAAATTAAAGTTACAGTCTTAATAATATATCTTGTTCATCTTTCAATGACGAAAAATAACAATAATCATAATAATAATAATAATGTGACATTCATTCCTAGATGATTGTCGTCGTTTCAATTGTGCAAGCTATTCAAGATGATTATGTATAGAGTAATAAATCACGCGATGAAGAGAAACCCTAGACAACCATATTGTGCCAATGTTTTTTTCTTTATTCTTTATCTATAAACTTGAAAGCCAATTTCTCATTCATATTCTATAATGTCTGACAATTCTTTGACGGTATTCATTTTTCGAATAATTGATATATTTGACATCTATCTATTGAAAAGGTTTATTCAAGAAAATTTTGTTCTTCTATTCAAAAAAAATTTATGTTTTTTTGTAGATGAATTCATAGAAGTCAAATGCTTTCTTTTTCTTTTAGAAGACTTTAAAAACTCATTTCCTTTGACGTATCTAATATGTTTTCAGTGAAAAATTATCAAAGATATTAACATCTTGTTTGTCTTTGTTAAATATAAAAGTAGAACGTTTTAGTCTTTTTAAATTTGATATGTTCTTCTATGCGTAAAGTGTGATATAAAGTTGACATTTATTTTAATTTAAATAATTTACTACTGCGATCGAAGAAAAAAAAAAAAAAAGAAATTAATTTGATGAATGTCTTCATAGAAAAGGTGACGTCAGTTGAAAATAATCTGATCATAGTTGTTAGATCATTTGCTTTCTTTACGTTTGTTTTGGATTATCTTTGTTTTTTGTTTTAAATGACAATGTACATTTTTTGATGTACGTCTTTATCTATGAATTAAAGTATAAGTAAGACTTTGAAGTTTTTTTTTTTTTTTTTCATTATATTATAATGTTCTGTATGAACTTCAAAATCGATGTTTGCTGTTTATTTTTACAGACGTTAATCATCTTACACATATTTGACATTTTTCTTTTTATCCAATACTTATGAGATTGGTAGTTGATTGAAAAAAAAGTAATTAAAAAGGGATTAAGATTTGTTTTTTTTTAATTTTCTAATTGCTGAATTATAAGAAAAAGCTCGATCAGCTTATAAGATTTGAAAACTCAATAGTAGAACACAATCTTTCTTTGTTTATTATCTGAATACATTACTAACAATGCTTGAAAAAACAAACCTATGTTCAATTTTTGTAAATATTGTAATGCACGGGTATATATAGACCTAGATTTTCTTCGACTGACTTTCGTCATGAATAATAATGAAAAAGAGTATGACGTAGCTGATCAAAGGATCAAATATACAATTAAATATTATTTATTAAAGAAGATACGGTGACAGTCTACTTTTTTGAGTACATTTTTTATTTTATTTCAAATAACATATTCAAAGACACATTATCTTAAATATCCGCATCATTATTTTATTTTAAAGAAATTCTTAGAAAATGAAAACAAATACTCTTTAATTGATTTTCTTTCTACGTCATTCTTTGAATTATATTGTTAATAAAAATCGATTAAGCATTTAAAATTTTTAATACAG